GAGGTAAGCATCTGCAGTTCTGAGACGCGCTGCCTCCGGGCGGATTTTTCCCGGTTAGTGAACGCCTTGAAGGTGAGGTTGCTTAATTCCTGCTGTGGGAGTTGAGGGTCAGATTGTAATTTCTGTACATTTTCATAATGTTGGGGTTGATTCGGTGATAAAATGCGTGTTCAGCATGTTTTAGGGGTGAGAGTAGAAGTAAGGATGACATTTAAGTGACTCCAGGTGAGATTATAGGACTGGGTTAAGTACTGGAGGATCTGATGAAAAGGAGCCTCACCAGTGGCCAGTCTGGGAAAGGCTGGACAGAGAGAAAGGAACGTGCGCCCTAACTCTGCCTTTGGCTCCAGCGCCCCTGGAAGGGGGATGGCTGGGGAGGGACAGAGCAGGTAGCCGCGGGACTAAACTGTCAGCTGGGCCCCGTGTGAGGTGAGGAGGTGACAGGAGGGGCACAAGGAGGTGGGTTGTGGGCAGAGGAAGAGGAGGAAGGATCTGGGGGGTGGGGTTAGGTTCCGGATTAGGGCCTGGTTTGGACAGGCGGGGAGGGGAACGGTTGGAAGGGTGGAGGGGCGGGGGGGGCAGACGGAAGGGAAGAGAAGGAGTAGAGATTAGGGAGGGATTGGTGTGTAAAAAAATGCCTGGACGTAGGGAATTTTCGACCATGTGCCCGTCTTGCGACAAAAATTGTCGACATTTTGAAAAATAGAGAGGTTGAAAGTGCCATTTTTTTGGGGCCAGTGGGAGCCGTTGTTTGACTTGCAGTGTGGCCATGCAGCGTTACAGAAGAAGATGAGAAGAAGATGAGACGTTTGGGTTTTAGGTCAGGAGACAGCAGAGGAGGCTGGAGGGTCTTTAGAACACAGGCCAGCGGAGAGGGCAGCCGATTGCCCGTGGTTCCGGAAAGGCAGCAGAGGCGAAAGCAGACACGCAGCCCAGCCACTCACCAGGCGTCCCTAGCGGAGCCGGGGTTGAACCTCGTCGTTGGCGGGCTGTCAAAGAGAGCGTCCCCTACACCGACCCGCCACCGATACCGGCCACCAGCCTGGCGGGCAAGTGACGAGGGTGGGCGTCTCCACCATAGTCAAACCCCTGGGGAAACTGGGTTCCCGGATCCGTGACCTACCTAGGGCTCTTCCGTTCATGAACCTCACGGAAGAACCTTGTTCATCTGATTTTTCTTGTCTTTGCGGTGGAAAAAGGACAACACGGAAAGGCAGAGACGTGGAAAGGAAAAGACAAAAGGATGGGGAAGCGAGAGAGAGACTGCTTGCCAAAAGAGCCAGCGGTGCGCGGCTGCGGGCTGGTCCGATGACCCCAGGTCGCTAGGCTCCCTCTTCATGGAGGGAGCACAAGAACAGGGATGGAGGTTTGGTCTCCCACAGGAGTTCCCCTGTCCTGGGTTTCCAGCACCAAATATTGAAAAACTCGCGCTTTGAATGAGGAGACCTTCCAAACAGGCTTTGTGTGAGCAACATGGCTGTTTATTCACCGGGGTGCAGGTGGGCGAAGGCTGAAGAGGGCATTAGCAAAGGGCAGTGGGATAGGAGTTGGTATTATAGGTTTGGGTGGCTTTTTGGGGGGCGAGGGTGTTGCAGAGTAAGTTCAGTTACAATGGCAGGGTTGGGTGAGAGGTATTTACATGATCACAAGAACAGTTAAGATGGCAGGGTTGGGTGAGGGGCTTGTTCGGGGAAGCTCTGCCGGGGCGATCAGGGCCAATGTCGAACGAACGCAGGCAGGGGTGGAAGACATCAGCTGAAGCAAGCAGGACTTCAGACTTTCAGGCTCCAGGCTTGCATATGGAGACCTGACAGTGGTCAGTAGAAGAATCACTGGTATGTGCGCTGCAGAGCAGAGTTTAGAGAGCCTATGGAGCCAGTGAAGAGACATTTCAACACTTGAGTCTAGCCCAGACCAGAGCGCTGAGTTCATTGTTCTTTCTTGGACCCCATCTTTCCTGGAAAAAAGTCAATAGGCACACAGGCAAGATAACAAGCAATCATTAGGAAGCTAGAATTGTAGCACGAAACATCCAAAGCAGCTTCTTCATTCAGACAATGTAGCATTGATCCCTGTATCAGTAACATCTTCCTCAGTGCCTGGCACTGAATAGATACTAGTGGAATGGATGAATTGGCTGATAATAGTGAATTGTTGGCATACTTACTGAGTTCTAAGTGATGGGTAAGATATAGGAGAAACATGTTGAAAGATGTTGTAGATTGAATAGTAAGAGTGGATGGGAGAGGGGCGTTTTCGGGGAGGTCCCAGGGCTGGGAGGGGCAGATACATGGGAAAAAAACAGGTTCTACAGCTTTAGCGCTTGAGAAAAGCACAGATGGGGGGAGATAAGAGAGGAAAAGACCCTGGCAATAGGAAAGTTTGCATTCATACTGTGCTCACTGTCCATTGGGGTGCATTCTGGCTCTGCAGGATAATGTTTGACAAGATAATGTGCCAGTTACCCAGTAATCTAAGAAATCACATTTCCAAAGTTTTCTGGAGCTGTAAGCCCAGGAGCTAATGGAGCTAATGTTGTCCTGGCTGACTGGCCATTATCGCCACACAAATCAAAGTACATTTCCAATGCCACCCCATTTGAAAACTTTTGACATCAGCAACTTGGTGTTAATTTTTAACTTAAAACCACAACTTTAAGAGCAAAAATTTTGTTATTCCAAATAGACAAGAAAAAAATTATTTTTCATGTAAATGTTTTAACACAAGCTTAAAACTAGGTATTGGCTGGGTGTGGTGGCTCATGCCTGTTAATCCCAGCACTTTGGGAGGCCAAGGCAGGTGGATGGCCTGAGCCCAGGAGTTTGAAACGAGCCTGGGCAACATGGGGAAACCTCGTCTCTACCAAAAATGCAAAAATTATCTGGGCATGGTGGTGCACACCTATAGTCCCAGTTATTAGTGAGGCTAAGGTGGGAGGATTGCTTGAGCCTGGGAGGTTGAGGCTACAATTAGCTGAGTGTCACTGCACTCCAGCCTGGGTGGCAGAGTGAGACCGTCTAAAAAATAAAAAAAAAGAAAAAAATTAAAAAAAAGAAAATGAACAAAAAGAAAAAGGCCAGGTATGGTGGCTCACGCCTGTAATCCCAGCATTTTGGGAGGCCTAGGTGGGTGGATCACGAGGTCAGGTGTTCGGGACCAGCCTGGTCGACATCAGTGAAATCCCATCTAGTAAAGATACAAAAAATTAGCGAGGCAGGATGGCAGATGCCTGTAGTCCCAGCTACTCGGGAGGCTGAGGCAGAACAAATGCTTGAACCTGGGAGGTGGAGGTTGCAGTGAGCCATAGGTAACCATATGTATCAAATAATACAGTTGTGGATCATAAAAAAAAAACGGGGGTCAAATAGCATAAGTAAATGGACCCAGAGCTCTGTCTAGTTGGGGTTTGCTTCTAATATTCACCTGCTAATGATTCCATGAGTTGCCAAATTAGAAATATACTTGCCCCTATTGGTACCTCATGAATTTTCTCTAATATCAAATGACTTCAATTTATGACTTTCTTTCAAGTTAACTTCTAGCAAGTTTCCTCAGAATTGGATTAAGCCCTAGTGAGATACTCAGTTACAGATCTTCATGAATGCTGGTTTAGTCTGGAAATTGTTTCAGTCTGGATCTCTTCAATGCTTAAACAATTATTTTAACTTGTTTTGTAAAAATTATGATCTAATTATTTTTCAAGTATACTTGGGTTGACGAAATGCAGCAGTGGGGTGTGCCTTTTAGCAGCAGAACAGACCACTTTTTACATTCCTTAGAAATAAGATATGGTTCAGTATTTTAAATCATAGCAACAGTTGATAAGAAAAACAGCAAAAAGGTAATCATTTCCATATGGAAAGAAAAGGAAGAACCAGTGAAGCTGTGAACTGTCATTTTTCCATATAAAAGTCACTACTGGTAGATTTGGCAGAAAGGGCAAATGTTCCTATTTCTCATTTTTACATTTGTTAATATCACAGCATATAATGTGTTTTATGGAAATACACTCAGTTGTCAATTTCTAAGCATGTTTCGTCTTGGGTGAAACCATATCTTGTGTGTCAATTTCAAGTAACCATATTTCCTTGGTGATAATTTTCTCAACTTAGGAAAAATTTAGGTGAAAATTATTACCCCTTTTATTGAAAAGCATATAACCATCATCCATACCAGCTGAATACCTGTAAGTAATTTCATTCCTTTTTTTTTTTTTTTTCTTTTTTATGAGACAGAGTCTCATTCTGTCACCCAGGCTGGAATGCAGAGGGACAATCTCAGCTCACTGCAGCCTTGACCTCCCAGGCTCACGTGATCTTCCCACCCAAACCTCCAGAGTAGCTCGGACCACAAGTGTATGCCACCACAGAGAGCTAATTAAAAAAATTTTTTGTTGAGATGAGGGTCTTACTATGTTGCCCAGGCTGGTCTCAAATTCCTGGCCTCAAGTGGTCCTCCCACCTTGCCCTCCCAAAGCGGTGGGATTACAGGTGTGAGCCACTGTGCCCAGGCCATTATAAGTAATTTTAAAGCAACAGTTGAATAAAACCAATTTCTGCTCTGGCATTCCAAGATCCAAATCAAAATCTAACCCAATTTTTTCATGCCCAAAAAGTTTAAGAAAAGCACACTAAGTACACATTTACATATTTACTTTTGTACTTAGCATAGGCATTTATTACCAAAATCCTCACATTGATTTTTTTTTTTTTTTTTTTTTTTTGAGACGGAGTTTCGCTCTCGATACCCAGGCTGGAGTGCAATGGTGCGATCTCGGCTCACCGCAACCTCTGCCTCCTGGGCTCAGGCAATTCTCCTGCCTCAGCCTCCCGAGTAGCTGGGATTACAGGCATGCACCACCATGCCCAGCTAATTTTTTGTATTTTTAGTAGAGACGGGGTTTCACCATGTTGACCAGGATGGTCTCGATCTCTTGACCTCGTGATCCACCCGCCTCGGCCTCCCAAAGTGCTGGGATTACAGGCTTGAGCTACCGCGCCCGGTCCCTTCACACTGATTTTTAAATAGCTGCTTAGAGTAGAAACTCTTGCCCTGTTACAGAATATTCAGAATACATGGTCACACTGTAGGATTTGACAACATCTCCCTCTTGTGGCTCAAAGCATTCATTCAAGCATGAATATATTAAGTACAGAATTATAATTCCTTAGCTTGAAATGATGCTGTGACAGTTTGGTTCAGGTTTTATGAGTTATTTTTGGTGTAAAGAGGCAAGATTTAGGAACATGTAGACAAACAGAATATTTTATTTTCTTGGCTAGTTCCAGAGTCCCAACATCTCAGCAAAGTGTTTTCCCAAAATTCTTTAATAAAGCACCATTTTTCATGCTAGTATATACAATGGAGTGTAAAAAAAGAAAAAGAAAAGAATAAAGAACCATTTTTTTCTTACAAATGAAATACCAAGTGGATGTTTTCATTGAAAACATGCTATTCTCCATTTAAAAAGTTGTCTTCCTTTTCTGTGCGCATCGCATACAGAATAGACTCAGCATTCTACCTGGTTACTTTAACAGAATGGAACTTTGAAAGCTTTACAGAGAAAATAGTACTGAAAATATTGTAGTCCGAAAATGCCTTAAGGTACTTTTCCCATTGTTCCAGATCAGAGGTTACAGTAACTGGCAATAACCTGCTCTAACAACGTGAAACCGTCTAAAAAGTCCTCTTCTTCGATTCCAAATTTTGTGTACTGATGAATGTAGGCTCTGGTGGAAAACAAACAAAAAAAACCCCAGAAATTACAAAATAAAAAAGGACCGGCAAATGAGTAACTCTTAAACAATAAACATGTTTTCTAGCTCATGAACATGTAAAGATCACAAAATCTCTTAGAAGTCTTACATTGGCTTTGTTTACTCCAAAGATGAGCGAACTTTCAAAATTTATGTCAAGCTCCCTGATTTTTTAGTGTCCAAGAAATTAAGAGGCGGCACCAAGGAAAGAGCAGCATGTTCAGACTGGCTATCTACCCAGTATAGACATAACACCCCATGTTGCGTATAAACTCTGAAAAGTGCCTGAAGTTTCATGTAAGGCTTGAAACGAGACATCAATCCAGTTCTAGGAATAAAGTGAAGCCTCCCAGGTGCCCCCAGGACATTTAATTTATAGTTATGCCAGGGTGGTCCTCCCAATCCCACCCACCCCCCAAATGTTCTTTATTTTTTTTTTTGAGACAGGGTTTTGCTCTGTTGCTCTAGCTGGAGTGCAGTGGCATGATCTTGGCTCACTGCAACCTCGGCCTCCTGGGTTCAAGCGATTCTCATGCCTCAGCCTCCCAATTAGCTGGATTACAGGCCCGCGCCACCATACCTGGCTAATTTTTGTATTTTTAGTAGAGATGGGGTTTCACCATGTTGGCCAGGCTAGTCTCAAATTTCTGGCTACAAGTGATTCACCTGCCTTGGCCTCCCAAAGTGCTGAGATTACAAGCGTGAGCCACTGTGCCCCGATGCTCCCCACAAATGTTCTGAGGCCCCAAAATCATGTGCGAAAATAATATCAAGCGTAGACATGAATTAAATTGACATAATAATGGCTGCTACCATTTAATGAGAGTAGGGAGGGAGTGACACCAGAAGAGGACAGAGTCCACGGCCCTGCAGCGTGGGGCTTTATAGAATGGTCACCTGGAGGATGGCTGGGCGCTGGGGTATCTAAGCTAATGAGAGTTAGAGGCCTTGTCCAGTCATTTGAGGAATTTGTTTTCATGTTAAGTAACTGTGGTAGAGATCAAGAAATTTGCTAAAATATTTGTTAGTATGAAGTAGGCATTTCAACCTCCGCCTCCCGGGTTCAGGCAATTCTCCTGCCTCAGCCTCCCGAGTAGCTGGGACTACGGGCGCGCACCACCATGCCCAGCTAAGTTTTGTATTTTTTTTTTTTTTTTTTTTTTTGAGACAGAGTTTTTGCTCTTGTTACCCAGGCTGGAGTGCAATGACACGATCTCGGCTCATCGCAACCTCCGCCTCCTGGGTTCAGGCAATTCTCCTGCCTCAGCCTCCTGAGTAGCTGGGATTACAGGCACGTGCCACCACGCCCAGCTAATTTTTTGTATTTTTAGTAGAGACGGGGTTTCACCATGTTGACCGGGATGGTCTCGATCTCTTGACCTCGTGATCCACCCGCCTCGGCCTCCCAAAGTGCTGGGATTACAGGCTTGAGCCACCGCGCCCGGCAGTTTTGTATTTTTAATTGAGACAGGGTTTCACCATGTTGGCCAGGCTGGTCTCGCTCAGGTCATCTGCTCACCTCAGTCATCCGCTCACCTTGGCCTCCCAAAGTGCTGGGATTACAGGTGTGAACCACTGCGTCTGGCCGAATCTTATTTTTGAAAACTACCTTATTGTCCCTGCTTTATAGTGATATTCTACTTTAATTACGTGAAACAATTATTGAGCATTTAATAGCCAGGCACTGTACTGGCTGTTTTACAAAATCATCTTACCTAACCCTCAACAGAAATTCCCTCAGTTAGGACCCACTTACACAGATGAGGAAATGAAGCCTGAAGTCACGTGCCCAAAGCTTCACAACTTCACACCTGAAAAGTAGTAACCATCACTCCTGCAGATCCTACCTCATGCTTTAACACTACAGTATCTGTTTAAAGATTAGAAAGGTTTGTAGACTTATTTTATACTTACCTTTTTTTTTTTTTTTTTTTTTTGAGACGGAGTTTCGCTCTTGTTACCCAGGCTGGAGTGCAATGGCGCGATCTCGGCTCACTGCAACCTCCACCTCCTGGGTTCAGGCAATTCTCCTGCCTCAGCCTCCTGAGCAGTTGGGATTACAGACACGCGCCACCATGTCCAGCTAATTTTCTGTATTTTTAGTAGAGATGGGGTTTCATCATGTTGACCAGGATGGTCTCGATCTCTTGACCTCGTGATCCACCCGCCTCGGCCTCCCAAAGTGCTGGGATTACAGGTGTGAGCCACCGCGCCCGGCCTATTTTATACTTACTTTGAAGCAAACATGTTCCATGCCTTCTTCACAATCGTATCAAGTGGTTTTACTAAGAACTGGCTATTGCTGACCAACACTGCAGACTTCTCATACTTGCTAAAGGCCCGCTGGGTTTTCCACACGTTGAAAGCATTAACAGGCTCTAACCAGGAAGTGTAGAGAGCTGGATCTTTAAATCCCTCTAGAGTAAAAACAAGATAAGCCATCTTTTTATAGCATAAATTGGTAACTGTGAAAACGAATAAACAGATATTTTCTTGTCTATTTCATCAGAAACCTTTTATTTTGTCTTGTAAAAACTAGCATTAGCTGGCGTGGTGACTCCCAGCACTTTGAGAGGCCGAGGAGGGTAGACTGCTTGAGCGCAGGAGTTCGAGACCAGCCTGGGCAACACAGTAAAACCCATCTCTACTAAAAATGAAAAAATCAGCTGTACATGGTGGTGTGCATTCTTCTTAACACTTTTCTGAAAGGTGTGAAAAACTACTTTTTTTCTGAGACAGGGTCTCACTCTGTTGCCCACTCTGATAGCTCAAACTATCCTTCTGCCTCAGCCTCCTAAGTAACTGCAACCTCTACCTCCTGGGCTCAAGAAATCTTCCCACCTTAGCCTCCTGAGTAGTTGGGACTACGGGAGCATGCCACTATGTCCAGCTAATTTTTTTTTTTTTAATCTGCTGTTTATTTTTTTTTAGAGATGGGGTTTCACCATCTTGGCCAGGATGTTCTCCATCTCTTGACCTCGTGATCCGCCTGCCTTGGCCTTCCAAAGTGCTGAGATTACAGGCTTGAACCACTGCACCCGGCCCTAATTTTTGTATTTTTTTTAGAGATGTGGTTTCACCATGTTGGCCAGGCTGGTCTTGAACTCCTGGCCTCAAGTGATCCACCTGCCTCAGCCTCCCAAAGTGCTGGGATTACAGGCGTAAGCCACTGCCCTGGTCCCTTTCTTTTCTATACAATGAATATGGATCATTTATCTAAAAGTAAAATAATGCTAATTTTTTGTTTTCTTGAGACAAGATCTTGTCTGTCACCAGGCTGGCATGCAGAGGCTCTATCACAGCTCACTGCAGCCTTCACCTCCTGGCCTTGAGTGATCCTCCTACATCAGCCTCCCAAGTAGCTTTGACTACAGGCACATACCCCATACCTAATATTTTCGTTTTTTGTAGAGATGGGGTCTCACTTTGTTGCCCAGGCTGGTCTCAAACTTCTGGGCTCAAGTAATCGTCCCACCTCTGCCAAAGTGCTGAGATTATAGGCGTGAGCCACTGTGCCTGGCCCTATTTTAAATGATTATTTGTTCTTTCTCTAAGGGGCATTACAGGGACTAGATTGTTTGGTTTTCTTTTTTCTTTTTGATAATGGGTCTCACTCTGTCACCCAGGCTGGAGTGCAGTGGCACCACCATCACTGGTCACTGAAACCTCAAACTCCTGAGTTCAAGTGATCCTCCTGCTTTGGTCTTCCTAGCTGGGACTACAAGTGTGTAGTGTGCACTATAGTGTGCACCCCTATACTTGACTAACGTTTAAAATTCTTTGTAGAGATGGAGTCTATGTTGCCCAGGCTGGTTTTGAACTCCTATCCTTTTTTTTTTTTTTTTTAAAGATGGGGTTTTACCATGTTGGTCAGGTTGGTCTTGAACTCCCAACCTCAGGTGATCCGCCCGCCTTGGCCTCCAAAGTGCTTGGATTACAGGCGTGAGCCACCACGCCTGGCCTTTGAACTATCCTTAAGCGATCTTCCTGACTTAGCCTGCCAAAGTGCTGGGATTACACATATGTGCCACTGTGCTGGACCTTGGTTTTCTTTGTACCATAACATGAAGTCACAAACATGATACTTGCTGAAGTCATGATAAAATGAACCCAGAAACTTGCCATAGAAAAACAAAGCTAAAAAGGCTGGGCGCGGTGGCTCAAGCCTGTAATCCCAGCACTTTGGGAGGCTGAGGCGGGTGGATCACGAGGTCAAGAGATCGAGACCATTCTGGCCAACATGGTGAAACCCCGTCTCTATTTAATAAAAAAAAGAAAGAAAGAAAAAAAAAATGCAAAAATTAGCCAGGCATGGTGGTGCACGACTATAATCCCAGCTACTCAGGAGGCTGAGGCAGGAGAATCACTTGAACCCAGGAGGTAGAGGTTGCAGTGGGCTGAGATTGCGCCATTGCATTCCAGCCTGGGTGACAGAGTGAGACTCTGTCTCAAAAAAAAGAATAATGTGGCCGGGCGCGGTGGCTCAAGCTTGTAATCCCAGCACTTTGGGAGGCCAAGGCGGGTGGATCACGAGGTCGAGAGATCGAGACCATCCTGGTCAACATGGTGAAACCCTGTCTCTACTAAAAATAAAAAAAAATTAGCTGGGCATGGTGGCACATGCCTGTAATTCCAGCTACTCAGGAGGCTGAGGCAGGAGAATTGCCTGAACCCAGGAGGCGGAGGTTGCGGTGAGCCGAGATCGCGCCATTGCACTCCAGCCTGGGTAACAAGAGCGAAACTCCGTCTCAAAAAAAAAAAAAAAAAAAAAAGAATAATGTTCTTTCAACTTCCTGAAAAATTTGTAACAAAATGCTTCTCCCAGATACCACTGGTTTTCCAACTATTTCTGCTCCTTAGCAATTCCCATTCACCCCTTCTTCAGTATCAATCCCCATAAACTTTAACTGAACTTGCAGTGAGGTATGGCACAGAACTCAGTCCCAGTCAATAGGATAGAAATTCAAGTGTAATATGGGACTTTCAGAAAAGGAGGCAGGCCTGGCCAGGCACAGTGGCTCACGCCTGTAATCACAGCACTTTAGGAGGCTGAGGCAGGTGGATCACTTGAGGCCAGGAGTCCCAGACCAGGCTGGCCAACATGGGGAAACCTCATCTCTGCTAATAATATAAAAATTAGCAGCTGGGCGCGGTGGCTCAAGCCTGTAATCCCAGCACTTTGGGAGGCTGAGGCGGGTGGATCACGAGGTCGAGAGATCGAGACCATCCTGGTCAACATGGTGAAACCCCGTCTCTACTAAAGATACAAAAAATTAGCTGGGCATGGTGGCACGTGCCTGTAATCCCAGCTACTGAGGAGGCTGAGGCAGGAGAATTGCCTGAGCCTAGGAGGCGGAGGTTGCGGTGAGCCGAGATCGCGCCATTGCACTCCAGCCTGGGTAACAAGAGCGAAACTCCGTCTCAAAAAAAAAAAAAAAAAAATTAGCTGGGCGTGGTGGTGTAGGCTCATAATCTCAGCTACTCAGGAGGCTGCACTCCAGCCTGGGTGATAGAGTGAGATCTCATCTCAACAAAACAAAACAAAACAAAACAGAAAAGAAAAGGAGGCAGGCCCTTCGCTGCTCATTTCTACGACTATAAGCAGTCAGCTAGATGGTAAGGTAAGGGTGAGGGTAGGCAGATGTTCAGAATACAATTTTTTCTTTTTTTTTTTGAGACAGGGTTTCACCATGTTGGTCAGACTGGTCTTGAACTCCTGACCTCAGGTAATCCACCTGCCTTGGCCTCCCAAAGTGATGGGATTACAGGCGTGAGCCACCGTGCCCATCCAATTCTTTTTTTGTCATAGAGACAGAGTCTTGCTCTGTTGCCCAGGCTGGAGGGCAGTGCCACAATGATGGCTCACTGTAGCCTTGATCTCCTAGGCTCAAGCTATGTTTCTGCCTCAGCCTCCCAAGTAACTGGGACTACATGTGTGTGGCTACCACACCTGGCTGAAGGAATTATACTTTTATCTTGTTTAAGTCACTTTTATATTGGTGTCTAGTCACATACTAACTGATATACCTTGGTCAAATTTTGCCACTAAAACTCATAGTTATTACTTTCGTTCTCAAAGAATAAATACAGGGAGGTGGTTTTTGTTTTTGTTTTTTTTTTCCCGAGACAGAGTCTTGCTCTGTCACCAGGCTGGAGTGCAGTGGCGTGATCTCAATTCACTGCAACCTCAGCTTCCAGGGTTCAAGTGGTTCTCCTGCTTCAGCCTCCCAAGTAGCCAATACAGGGACTTTCAAAAAACCATTTGTATCGGCCAGACATGGTGGCTCATGCCTGTAAACCTAGCACTTTGGGAGGGCAAGATGGGTGGATCACGAGGTCAGCAGTTCGAGACTAGCCTGATCAACATGGTGAAACCCTGTCTCTACTAAAAAATACAAAAATTTAAAAAAAAAAAAAATTAGCTGGGCTTGGTGGTGCACACCCATAGTCCGAGCTACTCAGGAGGCTGAGGCAAGAGAATCACTGGAACCCAGGAGGCGGAGGTTGCGGTGAGCTGAGATCGTAACACTGCACTCCAGCCTGGGTGACAGAGCGAGACTTCATCTAAAAAAATAAAAAAAAAAGGCCAGGCGCGGTGGCTTATGCCTGTAATCCCAGCAATTTGGGAGGCTGAGGTGGGCGGATCATGAGGTCAAGAGATCGCCACCACCCTGGCCAACATGGTGAAACCCCATCTCTACTAAAAGTATAAAAAATTATCCGGGCATGGTGGTGCGTGCCTGTTGTCCCAGCTACTTGGGAGGCTGAGGCAGGGGAATGGCTTGAAACTGGAAAATGGAAGTTGCAGTGAGCCAGGATCGCGCCACTGCACTCCAGCCTCGTGACAGAGCGAGACTCTGTCTCAAAAGAAAAAAGAAAAAAGAAAAAAAGTGTATCATAAAGCATGTACATGTACAAAATGTACATCTTAATTTTCACCTTAATTTCTTACCCACATCTGCACTTTGCACGTCTTTCCCACGAAGAATGACCAAGTTAGCAATGGAAGTGTTAAAATGCAGGTCTTTGCTGAGAGACATTTTACCAAGAGGAGGAAGTCCTGATAAAGGAGGCCGTACTTGCCAATCAATTCCTACCGAAAGAAAAAAAAGAGCAAAAGATTTTATTTTATTTATTTATTTTAGATGGAGCCTCACTCTGTTGCCCAGGCTGGAGTGCAGTGGTGTGATCTTGGCTCACTGTAACCTCCGCCTCTCGGGTTCAAGCCATTCTCCTATTTCAGTCTCCCCCAGTAACTGGGTAGCTGAGATTAGAGGCGTGCACCACCATGTCCAGGTAATTTTTTTCTATTTTTAGTGGAGACGGGGTTTCACCATGTTGTCCAGGCTGGTCTTAAACTTCTGATCTCAAATGATCCACCCGCCTTGGCCTCCCTAAGTGCTGGGATTACAGGAGTGAGCCACTCCACCTAGCCCGAAAACAAAAGATTTTATAAGTGGCTTTGAACAAAAGGAGAAAAATGGTCTTGTGGTACGTGTATTTTAGTAGTTTTTTTTTTTGAGATGGAGTTTCGCTGTTTTTACCCAGGCTGGAGTGCAATGGCGCGATCTCGGCTCACCGCGACCTCCGCCTCCTGGGTTCAGGCAATTCTCCTGTCTCAGTAGCTGGGATTACAGGCACGCACCACCATGCCCAGCTAACTTTTTGCGTTTTTAGTAGAGACAGGGTTTCACCTTGTTGACCAGGATGGTCTCGATCTCTTGACCTCGTGATCCACCCACCTCGGCCTCCCAAAGTGCTGGGATTACAGGCTTGAGCCACCGCGCCCAGTCTATTTTAGTAGTTTTTTTTGACAGAGTCTCACTATGTCACCCAGGCTGGTGTGCAGTGCCTATTCACAGGTATGATTATAGTTCACTGCAGCCTCGAACTCCTGAGCTCAAATGATCCTCCTACCTTATTCTCCTATGTAGCTGGGACTACAGGCATCATTTTCCCTGTTTCAAAGCGAGGATCTACCAATTCTCCTATGCCTATTCCATTAGAGTTTGTTGGGGCAAAAAATTGTATTCAAAGGGCTATACTCAAGAAATCTCAGGCTGGTTGTGGTGGCTCATGCCTGTGATCCCAGCACTTGGTAGGCTGCAGTGGGAGGATCTCTTGAGCCCAGGAGTTCGAGACCAGTCCTGGACAACATAGTAGACTCTGCCTCTAAAGAAAAATACAAAAATTAGTCTGGGATCTGTGGCATGCACCTGTAGTCCCAGTTACTTGGGAAACTAAGTGGGGAGGATTGCCTAAGCCCAGGAGATCAAGGCTACAGTGAGCTGTGATCATGCCACTGCACTCCAGCCTCGGTGACAGAGTGAGACATCTCACCTGAGGAGTATAAATCCAGGCTGCTTTTGGAGGATAAGATTTTGGGGCCGGGCGCGGTGGCTCACGCCTGTAATCCCAGCACTTTGGGAGGCCGAGGCGGGCGGATCACAAGGTCAAGAGATCGAGACCATCCTGGTTACCATGGTGAAACCCCATCTCTACTAAAAATACAAAAAATTAGCTGGGCATGGTGGCGCGTGCCTGTAATCCCAGCTACTCAGGAGGCTGAGGCAGGAGAATTGCCTGAACCCAGGAGGCGGAGGTTGCGGTGAGCCGAGATCGCGCCATCGCACTCCAGCCTGGGTAACAAGAGCGAAACTCCGTCTCAAAAAAAAAAAAAAAAAAAAAAAAAATGTAGAAACAGATACTGATGGTGACGGAAATGGGGTAAATCTTTACATAGAGGCCAAGCACAATGGCTCACATCTGTAATCCCAGCACTTTGAGAGGCTAAGGTGGAAGGATCACTTGAAACCAGGAGTTCAAGACCAGCCTGGGCAACAGTGAGAACCCATCTCTACAAAATAAAAGAAGTAACAAAATTAGTCAGGACTACATACCTGTAGTCCTACCTACTCAGGAGGCTACAGTAGGAGGATCACTTGAGCCCAGGAGTTTGAGGCTACAGTGAGCTGTGAGCACACCACTGCACTCCAGCGTAGGTGACAGTGAGACCACATCTCAAAAATAGAACAAAACAAAACCTTTCCACAGAGCAGAGAATATATAGAGTTATAAAACTAGATCCTTCAACATGGTTTGTGCCATAAATATATTTATTCATATACTATTCATACATGTGTATGAAAACATTTATATGTTCAAACTATACAACTGTGAAAAAATGTTGATACCCTAAAGTTCTATATGGGAAAATAACTCAGCCAACTGTGGTTTACTGAGCTAAGAGAGCTCAGAGCAGCACGTCTCACACGACTCTAAGGAACACTGTGTTCCTTGTGGTATTAACAGGTATTGCTAGAAAAACAAGTACTATTGCCAAAAAATTCAGGAAGCAGTACTTTTTTTTTTTTTTTTTTTTTTGAGACGGAGTTTCGCTCTTGTTACCCAGGCTGGAGTGCAATGGCGCGATCTCGGCTCACCGCAACCTCCGCCTCCTGGGCTCAGGCAATTCTCCTGCCTCAGCCTCCCGAGTAGCTGAGATTACAGGCACGTGCCACCATGCCCAGCTAATTTTTTGTATTTTTAGTAGAGACGGGGTTTCACCATGTTGACCAGGATGGTCTCGATCTCTTAACCTCGTGATCCACCCGCCTCGGCCTCCCAAAGTGCTGGGATTACAGGCTTGAGCCACCGCGCCCGGCAGGAAGCACTACTTTTAGATGTGAACTTTCTACTTATCTCTAAACCTCTGGCACTATAATCTAAAATCCGTAAGATATTTCAAATTAATTTTAAGAAAATCTACTTTCATAGTATAAAAACCTAACTTATGCTGTTAATACCTACTAGTGATTTCTTTTTTTTCTTTTTTTTTTTTTTTGAGACGGAGTTTCGCTCTCGTTACCCAGGCTGGAGTGCAATGGCGCGATCTCAGCTCACCGCAACCTCTGCCTCCTGGGTTCAGGCAATTCTCCTGCCTCAGCCTCCTAAGTAGCTGGGATTACAGGCACGCGCCACCACGCCCAGCTAGTTTTTTGTATTTTTAGTAGAGACGGGGCTTCACTATGTTGACCAGGATGGTCTCGATCTCTCGACCTCGTGATCCACCCGCCTCAGCCTCCCAAAGTGCTGGGATTACAGGCTTGAGCCACCGCGCCCGGCGTCCTACTAGTGATTTCTAGTTAAACATGATAGACTGAATATATCAGTTTACTGCCACCGTCTCCCCAGATCCTGCTTAATCAATAAAAGGATAAGCATAAACAAGAAAAAAAGGGAACTAGAGAGAAGATGAACAGCAACAAAATTTTAGAAGCTGGAGAGCAAATGAACTACTGGTTACTGACTCCACAGCAAGAAAAAGCTAGATACTTGCAGACCAGACACTTCTCAAGGTGGCAAAAAGGCTGCGCACGGTGGCTCCATGTCTGTAATCCCAGCACTTGAGATCAGAATTTGAGGCGGGAGGATCACTTGAGGTCAGGAGTTCAAGACCAGCCTGGCCAACATGGTAAAACCCTGAATCTACTAAAAATAAAAAAATTAGCTAGGTATGGTGGTGAACATTGGTAATCCCAGCTACTTAGGAGGCTAAAGTAGGAGGATCACCTGAATCTAGGAGGTAGAGGTTGCAGTGAGCCAAGATGACTCCGTCTCACAAAAAAAAAAAAAAAAAAAAAAAAAGGAAAAGAAAACAGGAGGATTAACTGAAAATCTGTTTGAGAAGCAGTGAGAGCCCCTTCCCCACCCCCTGCTGCAGGGGGAGTGAGCTCTTCCACCCTAGAAGAAGGTTTCTGCTGTCAAAAGGCTAAACCTCAGAGGCTCTGGCCTCAGTGATACCAAGCACAGCCCTGCAGAGAACCTTTTGGAAAACCAGGTCACTAGTTTCACAGGAAAGGTTAACAGCCTGTGTCTTCTCCATCCAGCTCTGTAAAGGCAGCCAGGCTTGTCATGCATTCAGGAAAGAGATGGAGGAGGAAGCAACTGATCAAGAGATAAGATACGCTAAGTATGATATTTGGAAGCCCAGCAATAAAATGGCCAGGCAGATGGCCTTACTGGGAAAACCACACAAGTCTGCAATGTCCATGAGGGTCCATTCAGTGCCCAGAGCAACATACTCAGCAAATAATCACTGAGGGTTTACTGTTCCAGGCTCCAAAGATGCAACAGTAAACCAAATAGATAATAAAGCTTACATTCTACTGAGATAAACAGAGACCCACACCAAGTACTTTCAGAATGCTGGGGACAAAGAGAACATACTAAAAGCTTCAAGAGATAACAAACAGGATTGGGAGTCAGAACGTCATGAGACTTCTCAACAGCAGCACTGCAAGTGGGAAGATAACAGAGCAATGCCTTTGAAATACTCAGTAAAAAGGATTACCAACTTAGAATCCTATTCCTGGCCACACTATCATTCAAATGCAATGGCAGAACAGAATGATGCTATTTAGAGCCTCAAACATTTTATTTTCCTTGTACTTTTTCTCAGGGAGCTCCTGGAAAGTATGGTCCATCAATATGAGGGAATAAACCAAGAAAGCAGATCTGGAATCTAGGAGGCCCAGACATAACACAGGATGAGGCAAGAGAGAAAAAAGGCTGGCTGCTTATCAAGCTTGGAGAGCAGTCAGTACAGATTGGAATTGGAAGACAAAGGCCTTCTAGAAAGATATCTCTAAGCAGATAATGGAAGTAATCAATTACCTGATGGGTTTATACATATTAAGAGGTCTTTTTTGTGCCCAAGCTGGAGTGCAGTGACACGATCATAGTTCATTTTAAACTCAAACCCCTTGGCTCAAGGGATTCTCTTGCTTCACTCTCCTATGTAGCTAGGACTATAGGTCCAGCTAATTTTAAAATCACTTTCTAAAAGATGGAGTCTTGCTTTGTTGCTCAAGCTGGTTTTGAACTCCTGGTCTCAAGTGATCCTCCTGCCTCAGCCTCCCCAAGTGCTGAGATTACAGGTGTGAGCCACCACATCTAAGAAGGGATTCTTTTTTTTTTTTTTTTTTTGAGATGGAGCCTTGCTCTGTTGCCCAGGCTGGAGTGCAGTGGTTCGATCTCGGCTCACCACCTCCTCTTCTTCCTGGGTTCAAGTGATTCATTCTCCTGCCTCAGCCTCCTGAGTAGCTAGGATTACAGGCACAGGCCACCACGCCCAGCTAATTTTTATATTTTTAGATATCCAACAGGGTTTCAACATGTTGGTCAGGCTGGTCTCGAACACCTGACCTCATGATCTGCCTACCTCAGCCTCCCAAAGTGCTGGGATTACAGGTATGAGCCACCGCACCTAGCAGAGAAAGGATTCATTTTTCATAGAAAAGTTTCAGAATAAATTGGTGATAGGTACAGAGAATATCTACCAAATAAATAAAATGACTAACAACTCCAGGAGGGAAAAATATATTGTACACAAAATAAAATATATAATCTGTGTACATAGTACAATGCTCTACTGTGAATAATATATATATTATCATATAATTTACTATTATAATATTTTATACACACACACACACACACAGAGACAGAGTTTTGCTTGTCACCCAGGCTGGAGTGTAATGGCATAATCTCAGCTCACTGTAACCTCTGTCTCCTGGGTTTGAGCAATTTTCCTGTCTCAGCCTCCAGAGTAGCTTGGATTATAGGCGCCTGCCACCATGCCCAGCTAATTTTTCTATTTTTAGTAGAGATGGGGTTTCACCAGGTTGGTCAAGCTAGTCTCAAACTCCTGACCTCAAGTGATCTGTCCATCTAGGCCTCCCAAAGTGCTGGGATTACAGGTGTGAGCCACTGTGCCCAGCTGGATTTAAAAATATATTTAAATGAGTTCTGGCTACTTGATTTTTTTTTTTTTTTTTTTTTTTGAGATGGGAGTTTCGCTCTTGTTACTCAGGCTGGAGTGCAATGGCACGATCTCGGCTCACCACAACCTCCGCCTCCTGGGTTCAGGCAATTCTCCTGCCTCAGCCTCCCGAGTGGCTGGGATTACAGGCACACGCCACCATGCCCAGCTAATTTTTTGTATTTTTAGTAGAGACGGGGTTTCACCACGTTGACCAGGGATGGTCTCGATCTCTTGACCTCGTGATCCACCCGCCTCGGCCTCCCAAAGTGCTGGTATTACAGGCTTGAGCCACCGCGCCCAGCTGGCTACTTGATTTTTTTAAACCATGTTCATTTATTACTTTGATTAAAATTTAAAAAAATGGCCAGGCGCGGAAGCTCTCCTAGGATGTCCTGGGGAGTTTCTGCAGGAGCCTCGCTGGCCAGCAGAAGAGACTATTATTTTAACTGGTCCGAGCCAGTTTATATTGAGACTCCAGGACAGGCATTTTTCCCAGCTTATGGGCTGCATATTTTTGGAATATTCTTTTTCAAATTTTAAATTAAAATTAAAAAAAAAAAAAATTGAGACAGGGTTTCACCATGTTGGCCAGGTTGGCCTGGATCTCCTGACCTCGTGATCCGCCTGCCTCGGCCTCCTAAAGTGTTGGGATTACAGGCGTAAGCCACCCCGCCCAGCCAGAATTCTCTTTACCTTCTTCCATCTTTGCATTAGAAATGAGCATCTGTCTCAAGTGCTTGAGGAGGCCAGCCCATGTAAATGTGCTATATGCCAGTGAGTTCTCAGACATGTGAGGAATGTTACGAACACTCAGCATCTTGAATTCAGGATGGGGAACTAAATGCTCCATTAAGTCTCCTGTAAAGAAAAAAAAAATCTGAACTAAATTTTTTTATTCCACATTGTTGCCAATAGTCTATACATAACCATGATTTGAAGGTTTTCTGGGCTAAATATTTTCTCTTCTCAGACCGGAAATATTTAATCCTTAATATAATTTCAGAGACAATGTCTATTATAGATCACATCTTTGCTTCACGTTAGCATCGATTTGAGTATAAGTGAGAACACTCAGCCAAAAAGGAAACTACAATTCAGAAGCTGAATAACTGGAAATGTGAATGAAATATTTAGGTAAACCCCAGGAAAACAAAGGAAGCATGAGAACTGATATGCTTTTCTTATCATTTTATGTTGTTCACTAAATATTCTTTTTTTTTTCACTTGTCACCCAGGCTGGAGTGCTGTGGTGTGATCTCGGCTCACCGCAACCTCCGCCTCCTGGGTTCAAGCGATTCCCCTGCCTCAGCCTCCTGAGTAGCTGGGACCACAGGCACGTGCCACCATGCCTGGCTAATTTTTTACATTTTAGTAGACATGAGGTTTCACCATGTTGGCCAGGATGGTCTGGATCTTCTGACCTTGTGATCCGCCCGTCTCGGCCTCCCAAAGTGCCAGGATTACAGGCGTGAGCCACTGCACCCGGCCCACTAAATATTCTTTTAGGAATGTTACTAGATTTTTACATATTGTATCTGGTTAGGTGATAATCAAAACCTGTTAATATGAAAGTTAACATGAGCCAGGTGTGGCTCTGCCATCTGGCCAGGCCAGACCCTACACACCTAGCCTACCTTAACCATTCTTTTTTTTTTTTTTTTTTTTTTTTTGAGACGGAGTTTTGCTCTTGTTACCCAGGCTGGAGTGCAATGGTGCAATCTCGGCTCACCACAACCTCCGCCTCCTGAGTTCAGGCAATTCTCCTGCCTCAGCCTCCTGAGTAGCTGGGATTACAGGCACGCGCCACCATGCCCAGCTAATTTTTTGTATTTTTAGTAGAGACGGGGTTTCACCACGTTGACCAGGATGGTCTCGATCTCTCGACCTCGTGATCCACCCACCTCGGCCTCCCAAAGTGCTGGGATTACAGGCTTGAGCCACCGCGCCCGGCTACCTTAATCATTCTTAAACCTCCTTGAGACCTTAATCCACAGAGCTCCTGCCTTTCGATCGGTCTTCCTCTTTCTGGCAAAATCCCAGTCTTGGACCAACCCCACTCCTCACCTTCTCTGTCAGAGCACAACTATGGAAAGTCATGCCAGATGGCAGACTCGGACCTCTCTGAATTCTCAATCTCCAAACACAATGCTGATGCCCACAATGACAACTCTGGGTGAGACAGGAAACCTCAGGAAGGTTCTGAGTAGGGGAGCAACAGGATCTGACTTATGCCTTTAAAAACTGCAAAGCTGGGCTGGGCGTGGTGGCTCACGCCTGTAATCCCAGCACTTTGGGGGGCCAAGGTGGGTGGATCATGAGGTCAAGAGATCGAGACCATCCTGGTCAACATGGTGAAACCCCATCTCTACTAAAAATACAAAAAATGAGCTGGGCATGGCGGCGCGTGCCTGTAATCCCAGCTACTCGGGAGGCTGAGGCAGGAGAATTGCCTGAACCCAGGAGGCGGAGGTTGCGGTGAGCCGAGATCACACCATTGCACTCCAGCCTGGGTAACAAGAGTGAAACTCCGTCTCCAAAAAAAAAAAAAAACAAAACTGCAAAGTTGGAGTTCAGTCTGGCTGCTGTACTCAAGAAAATGCTAACTGGGCGTGGTGGCTCACGCCTCTAATCCCAGCACTTTTGGAGGCTAATGCAGGTCGGTCATTTGAGGCAAGAGTTCAAGACCAGCCTGGCCAACATGGTGAAACTTCATCTCTACTAAAAATACAAAAATTAGCTGGGCATGGTGGCATATGCCTGCAGCCCCACCTACTTGGGAGGCTGAGGTAGGAAAATTGCTTGAACCCAGAAGGTGGAGGTTGCAGTGAGTCAAGATCGCACCACTGTACTCTAGCCTGGGCAGCAGAGTAAGACTCTGTCTTAAAAAAAAAAAAAATCGGTTGGACATGGTGGCTTATGCCTGTAATCCCGGAACTTTGGAAGGCCTAGGTCGGTGGATCATGAGGTCAGGAGATCGAGACCATCCTAGCCATGGTGAAACCTCGTCTCCACAAAAAAAAAAAAAAAGAATCACTGATTTGTACACTTTAAATGGGTGAATTGCATGCTATGTGAGTTATATATCAATAGGGTTTCTACTAAAAAAAAAAGAGAGAGAGAGAAAGAATCCTGAAGAAGAGCAGTGGATACTTACTGCCCTTTTGGGAAATTTAGCAACTTCTCAAAGTTTTTCAGTAAGACAGTCAGAGAACTAAGCAGGTCTGAAGAAAGAATTTTGAGATGAGCAAGACCTAAGTATATCTTCAGGCAGAGGAGGAGACAGAAAGAATAAACTTTGAAGCTTTCAGAACATAAGGCTTTCCTACAAATAACATATAGAGGGACAAATACCTAGTGGATTTTGTCTGTAGTGAAATGAGCTTTCTGCAGAATAAGTAGGCTGGAACACACTTCCCAGCTGATGTGCCAGGACTTGATTGATGTCGCTAAAGGAGATCTGCTTGATATTCATCAGTTTTGCACAGATCTTATGGACGGCATCATTCTCATGAACAAGGAGGGCATCTGAAGATCGGTACAAGTGAGAAAGTGTCAAAATAGAGTTGTAGTTCTGAACAATAACCTGGAGAGGAAAAGGTCAAAAATAAGAAAGGTAGGGGAGAACAGTGGTTAAGATTACAGCTTCTAAAGGCATCCTGCCTGGATTCAAATCCTGGCTCTGTCACTTTCTAGATATATGACCTTGGACAAATTTTTCAATCTCTTTATCCTGTTTCTTCTTCTTTTTCCTTTTTTTTTTTTTGAGATAAGACACGCTCTGTTGCCCAGGCTGGAGCGCAGTGGCACCATCTCTGCTCACTGCAACGTTGGCCTCCTGGTTCGAGATTCTTGTGCGTCAGCCTCCTGAGTAAATAGAATTATAGGCTTGTGCCACCACACCCAGCTAATTTTTGTATGTTTAGTAAAGACAGGGTTTCACCACATTGGCCAGGCTGGTCTCGAATTCCTGGTCTCAAGTGATCTGCCCACCTCGGCCTCCTAACGTGCTGGGATTACAGGTGTGAGCCACCCTGCCTGGCTATTCTCTGAGAAAAAAAAAATTTTTTTTGAGGTGGAGTCTCGCTCTTGTCTCCCAGGCTGGAGTGCAGTGGCACAATCTCAGCTCACTGGAACCTCTGCCTCCCAGATTCAAGAGATTTTCCTGCCTCAGCCTCCTAAGTACCTGGGACTACAGGTGTGTGCCACCATGTCCAGCTAATTATTGTTTCTAGTAGAGATGGTGTTTCTCCATGTTGGCCAGGGTGGTCTCAAACTGCTGACCTCAGGTGATCTGCCCACCTTGGCCTCCCACAGTGCTGGGATTACAGGCATGAGCCACTGTGCCTAGCCATTCTCTGATTTTTTTTTTTTTTTTTTTTTGAGATGGAGTTTCACCCTTGTTGCCTAGGCTGGAGTGCAATGACACAATCTTAGCTGACCACAACCTCTGCCTCCCAGGTTCAAGCAATTCTCCTGCCTCAGCCTTCCAAGTAGCTGGGATTACAGGCATGTGCCATCATACCCAGCTGATTTTGTATTTTGAGAAGAGACAGGGTTTCTCCATGTTGGTTAGGCTGGTCTCGAACCCCTGACCTCAGGTGATCCGCTTGCCTCAGCCTCCCAAAGTGCTGGGATTATAGGCGTGAGACACTGTGCCTGGCTTTTTTTTTCTTGGAGATGGAGCCTTGTTCTGTTGCCAGGCTAGAGTGCAGTGGCACCATATTGGTCTACTCCAACCTCCACCTCTTGGGTCAAGTGATTCTCCTATCTCAGCCTCCCGAGCAGCCGGGACTACAGGCTGCACCACCACACCCAGCTAATTTTTGTAGAGATGGGGTTTCACCATGTTGGCCAGGATGGTGTCGATCTCCTGACCTCGTGATCTGCCCACCTTGGCCTCCCAAAGTGCAGGGATTACAGGTGTGAGCCACCACAACTAGCCTCTAAATTTTTTTTTTTTTTTGAGACGGAGTTTCACTCTTGTTACCCAGGCTGGAGTGCAATGGCGCGATGTTGGCTTACCACAACCTCTGCCTCCTGGGTTCAAGCAATTCTCCTGCCTCAGCCTCCCAAGCTGGGATTACAGGCAGGCACCACCACGCCCAGCTAATTTTTGTATTTTTAGTAGAGACGGGGTTTCACCATGTTGACCAGGATGGTCTCGATCTCTTGACCTCGTGATCTGCCTGCCTCGGCCTCCCAAAGTGCTGGGATTACAGGCGTGACCCACCGCGCCCGGCTAAAATTTTTAAAAACAGGGATACCTTGTTTGTTTGAAAAAGTTTAACAAAAGTTAAATGAATTACTCATGAAAGTACCATATTATATAACCATTATGGAAGCCATAATTTACCATTTCCAATAAAAGGGTGAGAGCAATCTTTTACCCACATTTCTTTCTTTTTTTTTTTTTTTTGAGACGGAGTTTCACTCTTGTTACCCAGGCTGGAGTGCAATGGCACGATCTCGGCTCACCGCAACCTCCGCCTCCTGGGTTCAAGCAATTCTCCTGCTTCAGCCTCCCGAGTAGCTGGGACTACAGGCACTCACCACCATGCCCAGCTAATTTTTTGTATTTTTAGTAGAGACGGGGTTTCACCATGTTGACCAGGATTGTCTCAATCTCTTGACCTCGTGATCCACCCGCCTCAGCCTCCCAAAGTGCTGGGATTATAGGCGTGAGCCACCGCGCCTGGCCTTACCCACATTTATTTCTACTGCAAAGAATATAAGACATAAACTTTTCAATTAACGTGTCCATACCTCACCAGTTCCATAAGGCCAAATAATCTGATTCATTTTCAATGAGTTTGGATACTGATCTTGTAAATTCTGTGTAACGAAAGCTCCTAATCCTGATCCTGTGCCCCCAGCCATGCTCATTATGATGAAAAAACCACTGAAAGAGTCACATTTCTCCACTTCCTTCCGGATTAGGTTCATTATAGATTCTTCATGCCTGGGTCCATGAACAGAGTAACTATGCAATGGCAAAAGAAACAAACACAAACACGTTTTAATTTACAGATATGTAACGCAGATAAAAAAATACAGGATAGAGATGTCTTTTCTTTCTTTCTTTTTTTAAAGATGGGGTTTCACCATGATGGCCAGGCTGGTATGGAACTCCTGACCTCAGGTGATCCACCTACCTCGGCCTCCCAAAGTGCTAGGATTACAGGCGTGAGCCACCATGCCCAGCCCTGAGATGTCTTTTCAAAACTATGGAAGTAAAGAAACTCTCATGAAAGGTATATATACAATAAATTATTGTTAACTATAATTTCCTTACTGTATTATTGAATACTAGAACATATTTCTTCTATATAACTGTATTTTTGTACCCATTTGCAACAACCTTTAAAAAACAAAACAAAACAGGGTCTCACTATGCTGCCCAGGCTGGTTGTGAACTTCTGGCTTCAAGCAATTCTCCTGCCTCAGCCTTCCAAAGTATTGGGATTACAGGCATGAGCCACTGTACCCAGTGAGCAACTTTTTTTTTTTTTTTTTTTTTTTTGAGACGGAGTTTCGCTCTTGTTACCCAGGCTGGAGTGCAATGGCGCGATCTCAGCTCACTGCAACCTCCGCCTCCTGGGCTCAGGCAATTCTCCTGCCTCAGCCTCCTGAGTAGCTGGGATTACAGGCACGTGCCACCATGCCCAGCTAATTTTTTTGTATTTTTAGTAGAGACGGGGTTTCACCATGTTGACCAGGATGGTCTCGATCTCTCGACCTTGTGATCCACCCGCCTCGGCCTCCCAAAGTGCTGGGATTACAGGCTTGAGCCACCGCGCCCGGCCCGCAACTTCTTTTAATTTTCCTCCAAAAGCTTTCTTTTTGTAGGCTATTCCTTTTCTCCTTCTTTGTTTTTGTTTTTGTGTTTTTTTGAGATGGAGTCTCGCTCTGTCTCTCAGGCTGGAATGAATGGGTGCCATCTCGGCTCACTGCAACCTCTGCCTCCTGGGTTCAAGTGATTCTCCCACCTCAGCCTCCCGAGTAGCTGGGACTACAGGCGTGTACCACCACACCTGGCTAATTGTTGTTATTTTTAATAGAGACAAGGTTTCTCCATGTTGGCCAGGCTGGTTCCCAACTCCTGACCTCAAGTGATCCTCCCACCTCAGCCTCCCAAAGAGGGATTACAGGTATGAGCCACTGTGCCTGGTACCCCCCACCCCGCCTCTTTTTTCCTTTTTAGTTAGGGTTTTACTGCGTCACCCAGGCTGGAGAGCAATGTGAAGTGCAGTGGCACAATCACAACTCACTATAGCCTTGACCTCTCAGGCTCAAGGAATTCTCCCATCTCAGTCTCCTGAGTAACTAGGACTACAAGCACATGCCACCATCCCTGAAAAAATTTCTTTTTTTTTTTGACATGGAGTCTCACTTGGCTGCCCAGGCTGGAGTGCTGTGGCAGGATCTCTGCTCACTGCAACCTCTGTCTCCTAGGTTCAAGTGATTCTCCTGCCTCAACCTACCAAGTAGCTGGGACCACAGGCACAGGCCACCACATCCAGCTAACTTTTGTATTTTTAGTAGAGATGGGGTTTTACCATGTTGGCCAGGCTGGTTTCAAACTCCTGACCTCAAGTGATCTACCTGCCTTGGCCTCTCAAACTGTTGGGAACACAAGTGAGAACCACCATGCCCGGCTGCCCAGCTAATTTCATTTTTTTTTTTTTTTTTGAGGCAGAGTCTCACTCTGTTGCCCAAGCTGGAGTGCCGTTGCGTGATCTTGGCTCACTGCAACCTGTGCCTCGTGGGTTCAAGTGATTCTCCTGCCTCAGCCTCCCGAGGAGCTAAGACCACTGGCGCAGGCCACCATGCCTATCTAATTTTTTTTTGGTTGTTGTTGAGATGGAGTTTGTTGTTGATGCCCAGGCTGGAGTGCAATGGTGTGACCTCGTCTCACTGTGACCTCTGCCTCCTGGGTTCAAGCAATTCTCCTGCCTCAGCCTCCTGAGTAGCTGGGATTACAGGCACCCACCATCATGCCCAGCTAATTATTTCTATTTTTGTTAGCAGAGATGGGGTTGGCCAGGCTGGTCTTGAACTCCTGACCTCAGATGATCTGCCTGCCTTGGTCTCACAGAGTGCTGGGATTATAGGTGTGAGCCACTGCGCCAGGCCTGATTTTTGCATTTTTAGTAGAGATAGGGTTTCATCATGTTGGCCAGGCTGGTCTCTTTACCTCAAGTGATCTATCTACCTGGGCCTTCCAAAGTGCTGCGATTACAGGCATGAGCCACCATGCCTGGCATCATGTGGCTAATTTCTTTTTATAATTTTTTTCGTAGAGACAGGGCCTCCCTTTGTTGCCTGGCTGGACTTGAACTCCTGGGCTCAACTGATTCCCCTGCCTTGGCCTCTCAAATTGCTCGGATTACAGGCATGAGTATGGGCCATTCCTTTAGCTGGGGCTTTCAATACCAGGTAGTTCTACAAGTTTATGATACGGTATAATACTTACTATTCCTTTTTTTTTTTTTTTTTTTTTTTGAGACGGAGTTTCGCCCTTGTTACCCAGGCTGGAGTGCAATGGCGCGATCTCAGCTCACCGCAACCTCCGCCTCCTGGGTTCAGGCAATTCTCCTTCCTCAGCCTCCTAAGTAGCTGGGATTACAGGCACGTGCCACCATGCCCAGCTAATTTTTTGCACTTTTAGTAGAGACGGGGTTTCACCATGTTGACCAGGATGGTCTCGATCTCTCGACCTCGTGATCCACCCACCTCGGCCTCCCAAAGTGCTGGGATTACAGGCTTGAGCCACCGCGCCCGGCAATACTTACTATTCCTAACAACAGTCCTGAAGCAGTGGTTCTTAAACTTTGCTGCACATGGCCAGGCACAGTGGCTCACACCTGTAATCCTAGCACTTTGGGAGGCCGAGGCGGGTGGATCACTTGAAGTCAGGAATTTCAGAGCAGGTTGGCCAACAAGGTGAAGCCTCATCTCTACTAAAAATATAAAAATTAGCCAGGCGTGGTGGTGTGTCTACAGTTCCAGTTACTCGGGAGGCTGAGTCAGGAGAATCACCTGAACCCAGGAGGCAGAGGTTGCAGTGAGCCAAAATGGTGCCACTGCACTCCAACCTGGGTGACAGAGCAAGATTCTGTCTGAAAAAAAAAAGAAAAAAAAAAAAAATCTTGCTGTACACTAAAGTCACCTAGGAACCTTTAAAAAATCCCAACATTGGGACAGGCATGGTGGCTCACGCTTGTAATCCCAGCGCTTTGGGAGGCCGAGGTGGGTGGATCACGAGGTCAAGAGATTGAGACCATGCTGGTCAACATAGTGAAACCCCATCTCTACTAAAAATACAAAAAATTAGCTGGGTATGGTGGCTCGTGCCTGTAATCCTAGCTACTCAGGAGCCTGAGGCAGGAGAATTGCCTGAACCCAGGAGGCGGAGGTTGTGGTGAGCTGAGATTGCGCCATTGCACTCCAGCCTGGGTAACAAGAGTGAAACTACATCTCAAAAAAAAAAAAAAAAAAAAAATCCCAACATCAGGCCAGGCACAGTGGCTCATGCCTGTAATCACAGCACTTTGGGAGGCCGAGGCAGGACGATCATTGGAGGCCAGAAGTTGAAGACCAGCCTGGCCAACAGGGTGAAATCCTGCCTCTACTAAAAAAATACAAAAATTAGCGGGGCATAGTGGCACATGCCTGTAGTCTCAGCTACTCAGAACACTGAGACAGGAGAATGCTTGAACCCAAGAGGTGGAGGTTGCATGGAGCCGAGATGGCACCACTGTACTCAGGCCTAGGTGAAAGAACGAGACTCCATCTTAAAAAAAAAAAAAAAAAAAAAAAAAAGGCCGGGCATGGTGGCTCACACCAGTAATCCCAGCACTTTGGGAGGCCAAGGCAGGTGGATCAGGAGGTCAGGAGTTTGAGGTCAGCCTGGCCAACATGGTGAAACCCCATCTCTACTAAAAATACAAAAAATTAGCCAGGCATGGTGATATGTGCCTGTAATCCCAGGTCCTCGGGGGGCTGAGTCAGAATAATTACTTGAACCCAGGAGACGGAGGCTGCAGTAAGCCGAGATCGTGCCACTGCACTCCAGCCTGGGTGACAGAGTGACTCTGTCTCAAAACAAACAAACAAACAAACAACAACAACAACAAAAACCCAACATCAGGGCTATACGCTAAACCAGTTAAATCAGAATCTCTCAAAGTCAGCCCTGGGCATCTGGATTTTCCCAGAGATCCCCAGGAAATTCTAATGTGCGGCAAAGTTTGGGAACTACTGTATTGTAGTATTCTCTATCATTGAGATACCTGCCAGATATGGATATTGTATTGGTAAGTTAGTTTGCTGCATGACAGTGAAGAAGATGAAAAACTCTGCTGAAAGGGATCCTTGATTTCAACATTACCTGTACCTTAAGCACAGACAGAGATGGAATGACAGTTTCTTCTGGGTAAAATCAAATTCTAAATCTAAAACAGCAATTTCAAGATTATGCGCTTGGTATATCAAATGTACAATTCTAACTTCACTGTCTATTATTTAACTATGTAGCTGTCACTAAACTGAAAATCACTAGGAATTATTCTTACCCATATGCCCAGTTGTTTCCAGAACCTTGTTTTTGACAGAAGCATGCATGTTGACCATATTTCCACTGGCCAGACTGGGCAGCCTTTGACAGCGTTTGATTGATAACTTTGGGTTCCATGTCAACAAGAACAGCCCGGGCAATTGGAACTAGAGGAGAAAAAAAAAAAAATCAAAAGAAAAAAAGATTTCTTATGTCTTATTTAGGTAACTCAGAGCATAAGTAAGTGTCCAAGTCCAAAAAAACAAAAAAGGCCGGGCGCGGTGGCTCAAGCCTGTAATCCCAGCACTTTGGGAGGCCGAGACGGGTGGATCACGAGGTCAAGAGATCGAGACCATCCTGGTCAACATTGTGAAACGCCGTCTCTACTAAAGGTGCAAAAAATTAGCTGGGCATGGTGGCGCGTGCCTGTAATCCCAGCTACTCAGGAGGCTGAGGCAGGAGAATTGCCTGAACTCAGGAGGCGGAGGTTGCGGTGAGCCGAGATCGTGCCATTGCACTCCAGCCTGGGTAACAGGAGCGAAACTCCGTCTCAAAAAAAAAAAAAAAAAAAAGAAAAACAGTAGTTGGATCTGGTGATTCAGAGGTCACTGGAAACTTTCCTTAGAGCAGCTTCAATGATGCTATGAGGCAGAAGCAGGGTTATGACTGGTTAAGCAGGGTCCTCTTTTGAGAATCTTAGATGAGAAGGCAAAGAGTTAAGAAGGAAAAAGCAAGCCACAGTCAAGGGATGAGCTTTGGTTGGCTGGTTTTAAATTGGTGAGATTTGAGCATGTGGAGGGGGAAAATGCTACTGGAAAGGCAAAGATTATTAACATAGAAACGAAAAGCAAAAACAAAGTCACTCCCTAGTGAGATGGGAAGGAATGGGGATTGAAAACCATATGGACGGCCTGGCTTTGAAGGGGTTGGTTATGTCAGAGTAAAGGAGAGGACTGTGGGCCACACCTACCTCCATTCTCCTCCTCACTGAAGAATCTTTCTTTGCAAGATGTTTGATATGCCTCATTTTCTCTCTTAGAGCAGAGTCCCTGGGAACTGTGTGAGTCCCTAAGCAAAGCATCAAAAACTTCAAAACCAATTTGATTGCCACACTGACCAAGCTGCACTGTTACAATTGACATGCTGAACCACAAACTAGATGTTTTATCTCAAAAAAGTGAAGAACCTGTAAAAAAAAAAAATAGGCTTTGAGAATCACTACATTATTAATCAGAACAAATAAAATGTCATATGTTAATTATACATCAATTAAAAGTAACTTTAAAATGCCACATACGTATATAATGTTGGAGGTGAATCAGCTGTGTTGTCTAAGGAGCCAGTCATTCAAGGGAATTCTTCTCTTACTCTCTATATGGTTTTGAGATTTGTGATTTACTGTACCTGAATCCATTCATACACAGCTCAACAGTTTCCAAAACCTGATTCGTACTCACTTTTTCCCTAAACATACATTTGAAACAAAACTTTCTCCTCAGCTGAGGAGTGACAAAAGAAAAAAGAGGCCAGATGCAGTGGCTCATGCCTGTAATCTCAGCAGTTCGGGAGGATTACATGAGCATGGGAGTTCCCGACCTAGGCAACAGGGCAAAACCCTGTCTGTACAAAAAATACAAACATTAGCTGGGCGTAGTGGTGTGTGCCTGCAGTCCCAGGTACTTGGGAGGCTGAGTTGGGAGGATCACCTGAGGCTGGAAGGTCAAGGCTGCAGTGAGCCAAGATCTTGCCACTGCACTCCAGCCTGGGTGACAGAGTGACATCTTCCAGTCTCAAAAAAAAGAAAAAAGAAAGGAAATAAAAACAAGATAAAACAAATGCTGATTGAAGGAATTAGTAGTACCAGCCTTCACACCACATAGACATGTAAAATGCAGACGTGGGCTCAACATTGTACGTTAAGTTAACATTAATTTTCTCTCTTCTAAATAATGACTTACATTTTCTTTTTTTTGAGACGGAGTTTCGCTCTTGTTACCCAGGCTGGAGTGCAATGGCACGATCTCGGCTCACCGCAACCTCCGCCTCCTGGGTTCAGGCAATTCTCCTGCCTCAGCCTCCTGAGTGGCTGGGATTACAGGCACGTGCCACCATGCCCAGCTAATTTTTTGTATTTTTAGTACAGACGGGGTTTCACCATGTTGACCAGGATGGTCTCGATCTCTTGACCTCATGATCCACCCGCCTCAGCCTCCCAAAGTGCTGGGATTACAGGCTTGAGCCACCGTGCCCGGCTATGACTTACATTTTCTCCACTAGTCTAGCCTGGTAACTTTAGAGAGATTTTGTGTTTAACTCAGGTAGGACAGCAAGAAAGAAGGAACTTGGAGAAAGAAAACCAGATGAAATATTAACCGGGCGCAATGGCTCGCGCCTGTAATCCCAGTACTTTGGAAGGCCGAGGCGGGAGGATCATTTGAGCCCAAGGATTCCAGACCAGCCTGGGCAACATAGCAAGACCCTGTCTCTATTTAAAAAAGAAAGAAAAAGAAATATTAGAGCAGGTTCTCATTATTCTTACCTAGGAAAAGAAACAATTTCTGATAAAGACTTCACATCAGATCTATGCGTTACTGGAAATGAGCCGTGGGTTGAGAGACAGATTCTGTACTTAAAATGTCAAACCTGCAAAGTAGGTTATGTAATTATCCTCATTTAACAGATAAGGAAACTGAGGCTCTGAACGGTTATTGACTTTACCAAGGCCACAGAACTAACAAACAACGAAGCCACACCGGCCGTTCCACACCGGCCCCAAGAGTGACCCACGTATGCAACTCACCACCAAACGCCGACCAGACGCTTCTATCCTGCTGAAATTTCAGACCAACCTATTCACCATGCGCATGCTCACTTTCAACACGAAAAAGCTATTGAGAACTAATGCGCATGTTCCATAAAAGGAGAGTTTTGTTGTGTATTTTATTATTTTTTTTCCTATTCAGAAAGATTAATTACGCATGTTCAAATTCAATTTACGAACTTCAGCTGTGGTACGCATGCTCACTGTTCACCGAACGCTTTAGCCGACAATGCGCACGCTCCGGTCTCCAGGAGCGGCTTCGGCTCGTGTTTTGCGCATGTTTCTGCCAGCACCTGGATGCCGGCGATAGTTCTGCGCATGTCCACTGCCCACAGTTTGGCTTCACAAGACCATTTACGCATGCTCCTGCGCTGAACTTTAGGAGCCAGTCTAGGGCCTAGGCGCAGACGCACTGAGCCTAAGCAGCCGGTGATGGCGGCAGCGGCGGTGGTGGCTGCGGCGGGTCCGGGCCCATGAGGCGACGAAGGAGGCGGGACGGCTTTTACCCAGCGCCGGACTTCCGAGACAGGGAAGCTGAGGACATGGCAGGAGTGTTTGACATAGACCTGGACCAGCCGGAGGACGCGGGCTCTGAGGATGAGCTGGAGGAGGGGGTGAGGCCCGGGGTCCCCGGGGGCCCGAGGTGACAGGGCCGGGGCGGCGGCGCGGGGGCAGGAAGCGCGGTGTGTCCTAGAGCGTGGAGACCCGGGGGGGCTCCTGGAAGAGCTGAGGGTCGCGCGGCCCGAGACTGAGGAGCGGGCGGGGCGGACACGGCCCTAGGTGTGAGGCCTCTGCCGGAATCGCAGGTGCAGGTCGCACCCTTAGCTTCAGGCCAGCGCAGCCCTGAGCAATCTGAAGGGGAAAAGGGAACGGGCGCGTGTTCGATTCCTCGAGCTGCTGGACTTGAATGTGGCGGGGCGCGGGTGGCGTGAGCGTGGGTTGGGGATACGGGGGCTGCGCTTGCTGGGTGTCCCGTAAGTACAGGTGAAGTGTGGAGGGTTTCCCTTCGAGTCTAGGATTTCAAGAATTCAATCTTCAGACCTCCCACAACCACCTCTCTTCTCGGCCTGTCGCTTCTCTCCTAGGAAGCGCTCAGCTGTTAGAAGTGACAGCTGAAAACTTCTGTCGGGAGTAGCACTGCTGCTGCTGTTACAGCCACCAGGAGTTTTATTTCGGGAGCAAGGGGGCTCTGCTGCATCTTCCAATCTTCCAGGGTTTGTTTGTTTGCTTTTTTTTTTTTTTTTTTTTTTAACCCTCTTCCGTGTGACTCTTTAAAATAAGCATTTATAGGACACACGGCACTTGTAACCTTTCCCCAAGTTGAAGATGTCTATTTTTTTTTTTTTTCAGAATAATTAATGTAATTTTCGGGTGGGGAAACAAAACAAAACAAAACAAAACAAACCAATGTTGACAGCCTTGATTTAGCTTGCCAAAAATAAGTTGCCTGAACAGAGACTTGTGAATGGTGGTGTGAGGGCTTTCCTTACTGTAATTTAGTGTGCTAAATTTAGAATTGTATTTTCTAATGCATACCTTGGTTTTACCTTGGCTGGCTTAGTGGTTTGTTATTCTTTATGGAAGTTCAAAAACGTTGTCATACGAAACCACTGATTCCGGACCAAATGATCGTCAGTTGATAACCTCTTAGTAGTTTAGGATCTAAATTCCAATGTCTACTTGAATACATGGGTTAATGACTGGTGTTAGATGTTTACTCCAACTGCATAGGGGCTTCCTTTCCCTTGCATCACCCTCAGTTTTTCTCCTCTAGCACGTGCCCTACTGTTGACAAAAGATTGAGATGGGGCCGGGCGTGGTGGCTCAAGCCTGTAATCTCAGCACTTTGGGAGGTCGAGGCGGGTGGATCACGAGGTCAAGAGATCGAGACCATCCTGGTCGACATGGTGAAACCCCGTCTCTACTAAAAATACAAAAAATTAGCTTGGCATGGTGGCGCATGCCTGTAATCCCAGCTACTCAGGAGGCTGAGGCAGGAGAATTGCCTGAACCCAGGAGGCGGAGGTTGCGGTGAGCCGAGATCGCGCCATTGCACTCCAGCCTGGTAACAAGAGCGAAACTCCGTCTCAAAAAAAAAAAAAAAGAAAAAAAAAAAGAAAAAAAAAGATTGAGATGGTATGTATAAAGAACCTTGAGCAGATTAAGAAACTAAGTGGCCTTAAATAATACTGTTCTTTTCTTTCTTTTTATTTTTCTTTCTCTCTTCTTTTTCTTTTTTTTTTTTTTTTTTTTTTTGAGAGAGAGTTTTTTCTTTTTTCTTTCTTTCTTTTCTTTTCTTTTTTTTTTTTTTTATTTTGAGAGAGTCTCCCTCAAGACAGCCCAGGCTGGACTGCAGTGGTACGATCTCGGCTCACTGCAGCCTCCGCCTCCCCGGTTCAAGCGATTCTCTTGCCTCAGCCTCCCAGAGGAGCTGGAATTGCAGGGCTGGGCCACATCACCTTGCTAATTTTTTTGTATTTTAGTAGAGATGGGGTTTCACCATGTTGCCCAGGCTGGTCTTGAAGTCTTGACGTCAGGTGATCCACCCGCCTCAGTCTCCCAAAGTGCTGGGATTACAGGGGTGAGCCACCCCCACACCTTTGTGTGTGTGTGTGTGTGTGTGATGGAGTCCCACTCTAGCCCAAGCTGGAGTTCAGTGGCCCGATCTTGGCTCACACAACTTCTGCCTCCTGAGCTGAAGCAATTCTCGTGCCTCAGCCTCCTGAGTAGTTGGGACAGGCACACGCCACCATGCCTGGCTAATTTTTTGTATTTTAGTAGAGATGGGGTTTTACCATGTTGCCCAGGGTGGTCTTGAACTCTTGAGCCCCTGTGATCTGTCCGTCCTTGGCCTCCCAAAGTGCTGGGATTACAGGAGTGAGCCACCGTGCCCGGCTGGTGTGTGCATTTTCAATGATGTTTTCATAAGGAATTCCAAATAGTTTCTTAATTGAACATGATACACTAAATACAATTGGAAACAAATATGAGATTACTTTTATTATATATACCATATTCCATACTCTCCTCAGTTATATTGGTTCTCTGTGGCAGTGGCTTTGGAGCAGGTCAGGGAAGAAAACTGGTTAGGAAGGTGCTTTTCTGTTTTTTGAGGCAGAGTCTTGCTCTGTCACCCAGGCTGGAGTGCAGTGGCACAATCTTGGCTCACTGCAACCTCTGCCCTCCGGGTTCAAGTGATTCTTCTGCTTCAGTCTCCCGATTAGCTGGGACTACAGGCGTGTGCCACCACGCCCAGCTGATTTTTATATTATTAGTAGAGATGGGGTTTCACCATATTGGACAGGCTGGTCTCGAACTCCTGACCTCAGGTGATCTGCCCGCCTTGGTCTCCCAAAGTGCTGGGATTACAGGTATGAGCCACGCACCCGGCCAGATTTATTCTTTTTTGAAAGTACAATACTGTATTAAAATTCCTGCATGAACTGGGACTTTTTCTTTTCACTTTCTTGTGTTTCAAGAACAATAGGTGTTCCAGGGCTTTTGTCCTGCTGGGTACAAGCAAGTAGGATTTTGAGAGGGTGTAAGGAGGTCAGCAAAATTGGTGGAAATAGGAAAAAAAAGAAATGTGGCCTGACCTTGGGGACAGAAAGTTTAGGGAAAGAGCAAAGGTAATTAAAGAGGATTTTGAGGAAGAGACTTCTGTAAAATATGTCTTACTTAGCACCCTTAGCACCAGTTTTTAGAGTTGAAAATGTTTCTTTTTAGTGTGTTACTTATTCTTTTTTTTTTTTTTTTTGAGATGGAGTTTCGCTCTTTGTTACCCCGGCCGGAGTGCAATGGCGCGATCTCGGCTCACCGCAACCTCTGCCTCCTAGGTTCAGGCAATTCTCCTGCCTCAGCCTCTTGAGTAGCTGGGACTACAAAATAGCACCACCATGCCCAGCTAATTTTTGTATGTTTAGTAGAGATGGGGTTTTATCATGTTGACCAGGATGGTCTCAACCTCTTGACCTCGTGATCCACCCACCTTGGCCTCCCAAAGTGCTGGATTATAGGCGTGAGCCACTGCACCTGGCCATGTGTTATTTATTCTAAGAGGTGCCTCAAGGTGGATAATAGAAGATTTGGAGTGGGGTTGGGTTGGCAATCCAAGGAGATTCAGTGACCTCCAGATTACCCCTAAATTACAAAAAAAAAAAATCTAGAAAATGAGAGTTTAGATTCTTAGAAAATCTCAGTTTCTACGCATGAATTTATAGCCTTTACTTATTGCACAAAGTTTTTAAACATTGGTGCCTATCAGAGTAGTCTTACTTCCTAATTTTATAGTAAGGAAACTGAGGCATGGGCCATATGATAGCCAGAGATCACACAGTGGTAGTTTCTTCTGACTCAGTTTAGCAAGCTTCACCGCACAAGTTCTTCATTGCATTTACTCGGCATGTTTATAATGTTCCTCTTTGTGGTGTGTCAAAAATGAATTCAGATTCCTTTGACCATACTCACTCTGTGACCTAGAATAAATTCCTTAATCTATGACACTGTCTATTACATGAGGGTTACATGAAATAAATATATAAAGTACAGTACTCTCAAAATATCTGGGTGTATTAAGCAGTTAGCTGGTTCATAGAAATACAGCTTGTCTTGTCATTGCCAAGGAACCAATCATTCAGGTTTACCCTCATATGCCTAGAGACTTAATAACTACAGTTAAACTAGAGGTGCTGTATTTTTACAATGGTAGTATCATGGTGTGTATTTTTTTTTTTTTTTTGAGACGGAGTTTTGCTCTTGTTACCCAGGCTGGAGTGCAATGGCGCGATCTCGGCTCACCGCAACCTCCGCCTCCTGGGTTCAGGCAATTCTCCTGCCTCAGCCTCCTGAGTAGCTGGGATTACAGGCACGAGCCACCATGCCCAGCTAATTTTTTGTATTTTTAGTAGAGACGGAGTTTCACCATGTTGACCAGGATGGTCTCGATCTCTTGACCTCGTGATCCACCCGCCTGGGCCTCCCAAAGTGCTGGGATTACAGGCTTGAGCCACTGCGCCCGGCCTTTGTATTTTTTTTTTTTAAATCATTGATCTCATTTAGAGAGATGTGCCTTTCAAGATATATTACAGAGTGACTATGCATTAGTAAATACAGGTATTTACGTAGTTTATTTAGTTCATCAGAGATTAAAAGATGAGGAGACTAAACAGATACATTTATGGACAAAGTTGAATGTCTGCCACCTAACTTTAAAAAGATCCTATTGGGCTGGGCGTG